CAAGAGACTCAGGACAATTCACTCACGCACGACTGCAACTTACTCCACACTATGCACTGACCTATTTATTATTTATTGCCGCTGCACTACTTTGTCTTCTATGTCTTCTGTGTATTATGTCTTATGTTTTGTCTGTGAGGGAGGGGTTTTCAAGTAAGAATTTCATTGTGCTCTGTACGCTGTACTTTGTACATATGACAATAAACTTCAAACTTCAACTTCAAATCCATACAGGATTCGGGCTCAGGCTTGGCTGTCAGGGACGCGCTCTAACACAGTTGGTGAAGTTTACTGTTGGAATATTGTCTCTTTGTATTACTGATGGAATTTGGTCCCTAGGAAAAAAAATTCATGGACCCCAGTCCAAAAGGGAGTGCTAAGCCGAAATAACCATCCATTGTTGCACAGGTGAAATGAATGAACTGGCTTGTCACTTGCTGCTTCATTACATCCCTCATCCATGCTTCCCATGTTAATTATATAGAGATGGCTATAAATAATATAGAAGTGTCTTAGCGGGAGGAACCTCTGCTTAAGGATGCAGAAGGTCTCACACCATAGTAATAAGCATAAAACTAACTTCCTAATCACAGCAGTAAGAACTACACATGGACGAGATTATTACTGAGTACCATCAAGTCAGTGTGGACTCCAGGCTCGCATACAGAAGACATTCCTCCAGAAGATCCTATTTCCTGCCTGGTTCTGCAGGCCTTCCAAAGGCAGGTCCACTGTGGGGCCATCCATCTCCCTGATGGACATTTACTATAATCCTATAAAATTTTCAAGGTATTAGTGCAAGATCTACACATGCATGAATCCTTAGTGGAGAAGAGAGGTCTATTATTCTCAGTCAAACAATTCTTCCCTAAAATGAATATTACACTGAGCTAGTGCCACACACTTTTCAGAATTGTGTCTCACTGGAGGCCCATGTTTGATAAATACACAGAATGCTGTCAATTCAACCTTTTATTTCTATACAACAAAAGAAAATGAAGTCTAACAAATACCAAACACACACAGGAATCTGTAAACATTTGGTCCCGGAGAGCTCTTGCATTTAAGTTGCTCATTTGAGAGAAGTTTCCATGATGACAAGAACCTTCCAAGCTAAACCTGCATGTTGATGGAAATGAGACACAAGACTGGACCTGTTAACAGTTAAAAGTTAATGCAGTAAATGTGGAAACTTGACTATCAGACCACGATGTTCCAGGTCCCTCGTTTTGCATTCCAGTAAAATGAAATTTCTGCAGGTAGTACAACGGGGGAAATGTATTGATGAAATGACTGTGTGTCTGTCAGCACCTCTGTGTCTAGACTCCACCCCTTTTGGTGTCAATGTGACTTTAATGAGGATCTAGCCACCCCCCTTTTGGAGGAGGGTGGGAGGAGCCAGCAATGTATCCCAGCAGCATTAACACAGTAAGGAGTATCAGTCGGGGGGGGGGGGGGGGAGTTAAAAATGTTTTGCGTGATGTGGAGGTGAAGACAATGGTGAGCCTTGATGACAATTGCCTTCCTTATTCCCCAGATGTGAAACGTGCTCTACACTCATCCACAGAGGAGGAGGCGGCTGGCGAGGGCTTGTGAATACTTCTCGCCATCTCCCTGTCACAACCACCCTGGCCCCCTGAGAAGTCACACCCTCACAGCCCTCTGGCAGCTAGCGTTTAGCCTTTGTAGCCTCCACTTCTTTTTCTGAAACAGAAAAGGGGGCGGCAGGAATGGGGGGGGGGGAGATATTTTAGGGCAGCGTCGAGAGGCACTGAAAACTTCATGCCAAGATATACACAAGAAATCGCTCATTAAAGGTCAGTCTTAAGTACTAAATCAATATAACTGTATATTTATGGCATTAAAGTACATCTCCTCCTTCTACTGCATCTGCAGTGGCACTGATGTGTCCTTGCGGCACACATTGTTCCTGCAGGTGGGGCCACGCACCTTTCCTAAGATCCTCCCTCTTCTTCGCGGCCTCCTCACGTTGCTTCTTGATGATGGCCAGCCGGGCGAGGTCGGCGCGGGCCTGCTCCGTCTTCCCCTCCAGGTGTAGCTTCATGTACCTCTCCTTGGCCCGCTGCTTCTCGATCTCCTCCCTACCTCAAGGAGCAGAGCCCCGTCATTAAGGCGTAACGCAGGACCCGCCCAATGTGTTTTCATGTGCCGAGTCTGAACAACAGTTACAAGTCGAACCTAAATGTCGAAATAAAAACATTTAGAAGCTAAGAATGAATGTCAAAGGTGTGAGAAATGGACAATAAACGGTCCATTTCCACTTTGTTAAGGGTGGGGGGTCCAACGTCATGACCGAGGCCAGTGCAGAGCATCAGGGAGAAAAACATCAGTTCATGGCTACAGTTACTATATTCCGGACATATCCAAGGCAGGTCACCTCTCTCGACGACTGAGCTCCTTGGGTGCGCTCGCCTCCAGCTCAGGAACCTTCTTGTTCTTCTGCGAGATGCGATTAGGATTCTCGATCTCTATCAGTCCCTCCACCCCTTTTCTCTTTTGCTGATCGAGGTCGGAAGAGAGATCATTAGTTAGTCACCGACACCCGTTGCACAAACAGCAAACGCTACATCGGCTTCATAAAGGAATGCATCACACCCACTAACATGCGATATCTGATCTACTGTTGCAACCTTGTAATTCACAAATGACAGCTGCAACGATACAATGGATTTGACAAGGGAAGAAAAAACACTATCATTAATAGCGATGAACTCTGAGTGACTCGAAGCTAATGTGCATGTAACAAAACAAAAAAAAACTCCAGAATGTCATTCATGACGTATATACCACTCAGAAACCCACACAGGGCCTGCACGGTGCCTCTTACCTCACAGTCCTCATCATCACTGCTCTCCTTGTCAGACTCAGATGAATTTTCTGGTTCTTCACCGCCATTCTCCTCCTTGCAAATATAAATATAAGCTAACACATCCCACATAGCGCTCAGAACATAAAACAAGCTAAATCTTGCATGGCCACAATTGATCTCGCCATCATTTTTCCTCAAAGTTATAAACCATAATTTGCACGATTTTATATTCCTGGTAGGTACAGAACGACAGCCTGATAAATGCCGAGAGTAAAAGTATTACTGCACAACAATCCATACATATAAACTGCGATCGCAGTCAGCGGATTTGCAGTCCGATTCGTACCTTTTCTCGTTGGGCTCGCATCTGCCGGTCAATCTCCTCGGGGTTGCTGAACTGCTTCGACCTGCCCTTGTGCCCCTTCTTTCCTGCGATCGGCGACAGTTAAACATAATCAGCGAACACGACGTGAGAGACCGGGGGAAAGAAAAGGCTTGATTTAACACGACTGAGAGCTGTTGAATCATCTTCCCCGTACTCATAGTCTCCACGAGGACCATATACTGTCGGATCCGGGAGAAATACTTCTAGTACTTACGGAGACAAAAAAAAGAGCCACGCTGTGGATCAGCAGGCGCGTGGGCAAAATATCATGACATTACCGAAAGAAAAACGCCAGTAATGACTTTGTATTTTCAGCGGTTAACAATTCTGTATCAATCGCCTTTAATTATGAAGTAGTATGAAATAAATTAACCTATTTAGTCAGAATACTTCGAAGAATAATTAATGAAAAATTCTACCACTGATTTTATACGAGGCATAGTAAAAATCTCATCTAAATAACCTGTCTGACACAAACGATACAATGTAACCATTATGTATCCGTTTACTTCCATTTTTAAAACCTCACGCGTTTCGGCAGGCAACGGAATCACAGGTTTACAGAAAAAATGAGGGAATGCATCGACCGGTCTTTCAGCGAGCCGAATCAGTACTTACCGCCTCTAGGCATTTTCAGGGTGTAGCGTAAAACCTAAAATATTCAGCTAAAAATTATTACCTAATATTAAAGACACCTTTAAATTAACAGCCTATTCTTTCACTGTTTTTCCACCAGCTGTACTTAAACCTAGTTTCGTTTTACGGCAAGGCCTTCGAGAGCCTCACACCTCCCGCCTCCTCCGAGCCTTGAGGCGGATTTCCCGTTCCTGTGTGCCGGTGTATGACAAAAATCACAGGCAGCATCCCAGTAAATTGCTCTGCCAATAGTGAGGCGACGAATATATGATTGACATTGCTGTGCCCGCACCCGATAGGCCAACCTATGACGGACGGCTATGCTACCCAATAGAATATTCCGAAGGACAACCCGCGGGCTAATGATTCAAGCATGACGCACATGTTACTGAATTGTGGAGAACTTAGCTGAAGTCGTCTTTATGAATAAGACCATTGTGAATGGCATGTTCAATTGTATTTTACGCCTGAATTACTGCTTGGAAATGCGGTTGAACAGTGTTCTTCCCCATAGCAACGTTTTGGACATATAAATATTTAAAATACTGAATAATGTTTCACTTTAAATGTATATATGCGGCCTTGCTATCGCATTTGCGTTAGTGACTTTTTATTGGGTATTTGTAGAATTATGACATGACATTGAATTGGGCTATTTTGAAAATACAGTTGCGGGTAAATATTAGGAGGTGGCGGGGATTTGGGCTTTTTCATAATGTTCCGCGACAGTGGACTGTAAGGAGAAAAAGAAATTAATTATTATGGATGCAAGCGGTTCCTGATCTTAAGTAATACTGAATACAACTGCAGTCATATATCATAAAACCCTGGCCTCCATCAGCCAATGAAAATCAAGCAGCCATTTGACAGGCTTAACAATCACCAATCCAAACCAAAATTGGCTGATCCATTTCTCTATAGACCCTCAGCCTACCCTGGCAAGGGCGCCTCACGCTGCCAGATGGGGACGCTACAGCGACAACATTTGCATTTCTGACCATTTCTCCAGAAATGTCAAGTTTACAGCTTTAGTTTCTTTTCCTCCCAATTCAGTATGTCATGCCTCTTGGCATTTTTGCCTATTTTGTACGAGCCTGGAAACAGATTTTTTTCAAACTCGTCCTAGGATTTTCGCCCAGCCTACATAAATCTGGTATCAATCGAATCAGCAGATCTTCATTATAAATAGTTATTAGCAGTATCTTTCACTTCTTGTACGGTCCGGCCGCCAACTACACCCAAACTGCGCCACGCCCATTCCAGCCAGACAGCTATATCTCAAGCATGCTTCAGCCAATCCTCACCAAACCAAAGCAGGGAACTGAGGAAGGACCCTCCAAATTGGGCACCAATCGGGGCACTATGGCAATTGAACATGTGTCTCTAAACCTGCAAAACCAGCGCAAGTGACATTTTCCTCATTTCACATTGAATATTTTATAAATGGTCAAAATCCTTTTTTAACTTCAGTTCTGTGCAAAATTAAAATATATTTACTCTTAAATGACAGCCATTTGCATTTCCTAGTGATTACTATAGATTAAAAAAGACATATTTCTATTAATCCTAGTCTCCACCCAACCTACAGACATCTGGTGACATTTTAATCAGCACACTGCAGATCTAAACGATTAATTAAAAAGCTTCAACTTCATATACAATACAGCCACCAGCCACACCCAAACTCTACCTGTGCTACACACATTTCTGTTAGACAGCTATCACTCGTGCATGCTTCAGCCAATCCTCACCAAATCTGAAGCTGTACTGTAGCACGGGACTATGGGTAGACCCTCCAAATTTGTAGCTGATTGGTCAATAGGCGGCACTACATCAACTGAACACGTCTCTCTAAACCTGCAAGACCTCAACACCTGACATTTTCTTTGAACATCATATAGGTGGCCAAAATCCTTCAAATACTTGTCTTGTGACTCATGCCAAATCAGAATATATTAACTGTTAAATTACAGACATGCATTTCCTACTGATTTCCATAAATTTGAATCAAAGAGACATTTCCACTAGTCCAGCTTTCACCATCCATTTCAGGTAAATCTGACATATTTTAAATCAGTGCGTTGATGTCATTAATTCTAATAAAAACTATTGAACAGCCCACACCGGAAGGCCACCACCCGCCCCCAAACCGATCAAGGCCCATCTGGGCTAATTCAGCTCAAATTACCCTTACATCTCTTAAAGCCTTCAAACTGCTGTCACCATTCCTTTCATCTCAATCAATGTTTTTAATTCTTTTGACTCATTAAAAATTGCCAGAATTAATTGATGTATACGTGTACGCAGTACGCGCTACTTGATAAGTTTTTAATAAATCGGCCAGCAGGTGGAGTCAGCGCTCCATTTCACAAATGCCATTCAATGCTGTTAGACTTTTTCCTTTTGATTGTTTATTATTGTTATAAGATAATTAACTTGGGCACACAAGATTAAAAAAAATCACCTTATAGTACTTTAGGGGCTCGGTAAAAAACTAAAAATGCCAAAAGTCTTGTATTTTGTTTGGTTATGTATGCTTAAGGTTAGGGGCTTGGTAGGTTAAGGTTGTCATAGTTGGAATTAGGATATTGCCAGTACAAATGAATGGAGAATCCCCTTAAAGATATGAAGACAAAGTGTGGGTCTGTGTGTGTGTGTGCATGTTCCCCGTGGTGGACTGGTATCCCATCCAGAGAGTATTGAGTATGACTTAAGCTACTTGGACCAGCCTGAACGTCACCCTGACCAGTATTAGCATTTGGAAGGTGGATGACTGTTGGTTTATGTTTTTAGCTGGAACAAATCTTATTTCCTTGGGTTTTTATTTCTCTATGCTTTGACCTGCCCTGAAGGCCTGATCCCAGTTATGAATATGATCTTCTAACCAGGTTGCTTTTAATGTAATACAATCAGGCTTGTAGTGTTTTGTGCCGCATGAATTGTACTACACAGATGTCCCAGAAGGCTAATATAGCTCATAATACCAAAAACAAGAGGGTTAGTGGAGTATGTTTTTGCTCTCTGCTCTGGGAAGGTCACTCAGAGTGAATTGTTTAAGTTTACAATTCTCCGGACCCTTGGCAAATACATGATGTGTGGTGTATTTTTCAGAATTTTTGTTTTTAAGATGTTCAACACCAATAAAAATGTGTTTCTTGCAAGTAGAAATAGGCCTCCTGTAATGCAATGTGTGATTACGGAGATGCACCCCCACCCCCAAGCCAGGCCATAAGGTCTCTGAACCTGGACGAGCCTTTGCACCTCACACCCTGATGTACATTGTGCTCTTGTGCCCCTCACCATATCCGCACTGCTACACTGCTCACTTTTTATGTCTGGTTACCGGTCATTTTGAACATACATCTCTGCTTGCATTTTAGCTTTTTGCACTTTAACTTTAGCAACTTGCACAGTCTACAAAAGAGCGGTTCAGGATGCATTTCCCTACACGTTGTACTTTGTATAACTATGAACGCAGGGCTGGACTGGGACCAAAAACTGGCCCTGGCATTTTCTGGTCATGGCGGCCCACTACGATTATTTATACGATATGCGACAGCACATGCCATACCAGAGGATATATATGTACGTTGTGTGATTTCAAAAATTAAACTAAAGCGCAGCAGCTTACAAGGAAGAGAGTAACCATGTTAAAAAATTGATATGCTCTTTCACTACTCAGGGATTCATCTTGGTAGAGATGGCCAGTGTCACAATTCCCACCTTGAAGTGAAAGTGGATGTCAAAGAAACATAAACATACACTCACCTAAAGGATTATTAGGAACACCTGTTCAATTTCTCGTTAATGCAATTATCTAATCAACCAATCACATGGCAGTTGCTTCAATGCATTTAGGGGTGTGGTCCTGGTCAAGACAATCTCCTGAACACCAAACTGAATGTCAGAATGGGAAAGAAAGGTGATTTAAGCAATTTTGAGCGTGGCATGGTTGTTGGTGCCAGAGTATTTCACAATCTGCTCAGTTACTGGGATTTTCACGGACAACCATTTCTAGGGTTTACAAAGAATGGTGTCCAAAGGGAAAAACATCCAGTATGCGGCAGTCCTGTGGGC